ATAGAGATTTTGGTGTTTCACTTCTAAGTCTAAACTTTGGTTGCTTCTGACTAGAAAGATTTTAAATACRTATCAACAACATCTCCCCAAAGCAGATACTGAGGCTTTTCAGCCACTGCCATGTGAAAATCTGCCTGATTTTGGGGGTGCAATCCAAGTATTTATTTCCCATMAGGATGCAAAATGTCTTGGCAGAAATACTGTCCTGGTGTTGGACTAACAGATTCTTGCAACTAAAAGGTCTTCTGTCACAGAGAATGAGTGGTGTAGACCTCATCCTGAACAACAAGAAGTAGCATCAGTGAATTTTATCACATGAATGCACATGAACAGCCTTTGCCCTCCTTTTCCTATATCACAATGTAAAACTTCCTGGGACACACAGCACTGACTAACTCCAAAGCTCTCACAGCAATAYACTTAAATGACATTTACTTTAACTGTTTCTGTATCTAGTGTGGAAATCAAACTTTGGAACTCTAGCATAATTGTTATTGAAGAAGTATATTTGCATACTGCTCACTTCCATGGCTTTGAATAAAATGAGGCTTGTGCTAATAGCCTGCAACTAGAAACTGCCACCTAAGCTTCACAGAGAATTTTGATAAAGCCAGAGTCTGACATCACTTTAAATCCCAACACCACTGCAGTAAAGGGAAAATTCCCCTTAACTTCATAAGCATCTGGATTTCTTACACTGTTGTACTGRGTTTGCATGGCAAGGTTTTGGCAGTGGGAGGGCTGCAGGGGTGGCTTCTGYGAGAAGCTGACAGAAGCTTTACCAYGTCTGATAGAGCCAGTGCCAGCCAGCTCCAGGACAGACCCTTTACTGGCCAAGGCTGAGCCCAGCAGTGATGGTGGTAGTGCCTCTGGGATGATAAGAGTTGAAAAGAGGAAARAGTTACTGCACAGGAGAAAATTGCAGCCAGAGAAGACACAAGTGAGAATAGGTGAAAGAAACAACTCTGCAAGCACCAATGTCAGTGCAGAAGGAGAGGGAGGAGGTGCACCATGCACTGGAGCAGATTCCCCTGCAGCCTGTGGTGCAGCCCATGGCGAGGCAGCAATGCCCCTGAAGCCCATGGAGGTTAATGGTGGAGAAGAGATCCACCTGCAGCCTGTGGAGGATCACACACTGGAACAGTGGATGCTGTCGATGCCATGACCCTGTGGGAAGCCCATGCTGGAGCACATTTGCTGGCAGAACTTACAATCCCACAGAAGACTCACACTCAAGCAATCTCTTCCTGAAGGACTGCACCCAATGGGAGGGACTCATGCAGAAGCAGTTTGTGAAKAACAGCAGCCCATAAGGACTTATGCTGGAGAACTTTGTGGAGAACCATCTCCTGTGGGAGAGACCCCTTGATGAAGCAGGGCAAGACTGTGAGGAAGAAGGAGAAAGAGAGACAATGTGTGATGAACTGACCACAATGCCCATTCCTTGTAYCACTGGAGGAGGGAGGAAGGTAAAGAATTCAGGTATAAAGTTAAGCCTGAGAAGAAGAGAAGTATGGCAGGAAGAGGTTTTTAAGATTTGGTTTTATTTCTCATTATCCTACTCTTATTTCCCTAAGACTGTTTTGCTCATAAGTTACTGGTGAGTGATTACTTACTGTCCTTATTTTGACCCATGAGGCTTACATTTTATTTTCTCTCCCCTGTCCAGATGAGGAGARCAGTAGTAGAGCAGCTTTGAGAGCATGTGGCATCCAGCCAGGGTTAAGCCACCACAACTGTACCTACAAATGCACACAGTAGCTTTTTTTTGAACTAAAGCAATGCAGAGAGTTGCAGTAAAAGAAGAGACGAAGAAAGCTACAGGAGAAAAACTGAGTGACAGAATCAGAACATTTGTTGTTCACATGCCATCCTCATAGCAAAGGGTTGGCTTTAAGTTCTTACTAACACCTAAAATACAGGTTGCAGAAATAATAGTTCATCTCCAGAGCTTAGGACCTGTTTTTTAAATCTACTTACAAGAGAGGAGGAAAGAAAAAAAAAGCAGAACTGCTTCCAAGAAAAAAAAAAGCCAAACTATTGTATAACTCTGACAGGTTAAAAATTTGAAATGATTCAGAAGCCCCGGAGCCTTCCAGCAGTTAAGAGRTCCAAAGCTGAGATGCAAAACTTACTCTATTCCTTCAGCACTCCTGGAAGAGTCTAGTGTCCAGAAAAACAACAAACAGCTTGTGCTAATATATGAATGTGCAAATGTAAAATAACTTCAATTAATGCAAATCATGTCGTGACAGACAATATAACAGCATGGAAGCTGCCTGACCAACTTGTGTTGATTTGTACAGAAAGATTGCGGTTTCTGACATGTTTCCGAGTGAGTTAAAAACGGCTGTCAACCTGTCTGTTTCAGCCAGAGGCACAGCAATGGCAGTTGGTGAAACATCACACCTGAGAAGCATTTATGTGACACATCTTTCCTCTCCCTCTCTCTCTCTCTCTCTCTCTCACACACACACACACACACACACACACACACACACACACACACACACACACGGCAAAATCTGTAGAACCACTGGGCTTGTTTTGGATTAGATAAACTGACTTAACCAATCATGAATTCCTACCATCCTTGCTGATGAGGTATAAGAAACTGGGAAGTACCAAATGTGTATTGCAGAACAAAGGACCCAGCCAACTCTTTTTTGCATCAACATTCAATCCCCTATATACAATACTGACCCAGTCCTCCAATCCTTCCARAGCCAAAACTAACTGTTAGCTTCCATGGAGCATTTTAGGATGAAGAAAAAGGTGCAGCCTTGCCAACACTAAGGAAAGCACAGCATGAATGGTCCCGATCCTGCAGAGAGTTGCACACAGATTTAAACTCTGCTCACAGGACTAGCCCCACTCRTAATGCCAACATCTGCAGTGTAAACTGAGTGCTTGCTTAATTAACTGCAGAAGGAAGGCACAATCTCTATCCATCCACTGTGTTGTCAATGGTTAAGAGTTCTGGCACAGGGAACTGGGGAGGAATGCATGGCCCAGCCTAGGGAAAGAGCAGGGTCCCTTCCTGCTCAATGACAGCTCAGTCATAGATCAGGTTAAACTGGTTGTCAAATCCTGAACTGCTATAAAGTAATTCTTTTTCAATGAAAGGAACTAATCATGCCTGTTCGCTGACAAAACAACAGAGACCAAACACGAAGAAGAAACAATAGATRATGACAATTTCCCTGAAAAATAAAACACCAGACATAAAAATGTCATGTCCTGAGAAGGCTAATGAGATAAAATACAATGAAAATGGGCTCATTTTTAGAATAGGTATTTTCAAGGATGCGAAGTGGTATAAAATTACTTCTCTGCTTCTGTTCAGAGGAAAGAAACAGGCCAACTGCAATGCTGCACAATGTCAGTAGGGATAAACAGAAAAATCCCTACAAAMTCCACAAAGGATCTCACCAAGAAAAGAATGAAATATAAAAAGAAGTTTAATTCTAYATTAAAAGAAATTTCAGGATTTCATGTTTTATTATACCTTCTTTAGCAGTCAGCTGCCCCCAATGTCTTCCTGCAAARGGATACTACAGGATGCTGAAACCCYGGGTWAGTACGATCTGGATGCAGTCATCTAACCACATCACTGTCTCTACAGTAACCTAGGCCAGCCCTAAATACTATAATCCTGCTTTACTACAGTAAAGCCAGTTAATGGCTTTCATTGAATGTTCCTGCCAAATAATGGTGCTCTAATATTTATTGACATTTCAAGTCTATCCATCTCTTTGGACTATTTGTTACACTGAAAGGTAATGCAAGCACAGCATTCRTAGAAGAAAGGAAGCTATTACACATTTCAGTCTGTTGATATTACCAAGGTGCAGTCCTGCAAACTCCAGCTACTAAGTGACACCAGACTTCAGTGGCACCACTGCCAGGAGTGTGTCCTGCAGATCACAGAGCAGCTGGGACAGACATGGGACCAGACCTTAGYTCCTGGCAGGTTCCCATCAGACAGTGCCATTAGCAGTGGATGACCAGAGGATCCCATTGGCATGCACTGGATGTCCTAATTAAAGAGTGAATAAATGCTGTGTKATGGGCCCTGGGAAGAGGAGAACACAGAACAAGCAGGATGGGCCAGACAGTTAAACAGGGGAGCAAATATTACTTTCTCCATACTAGTGACAATTTAATTATTTTTCACAAACATTCCATTTAATTCCTTTTTGGGAGACAGATGGTTAAATCCCTGAAAAACAGAGGAGCCCTTTTGCTTCTCAGATCATACAGAAGGAYTGTTCTATTTTATTGGTTTTCTATTTTTTATTGCCCTATTTTTTTCCTAGCTTTTTGCTCCAGTTTTCTGTTGTTCACTTTAACTGCTGTGGAAAAGCTTTACAGAATATTATTTCTATTTTTTCTTGATAGGTGAAAAAAGTTGACTAYGGGATTTAATACTATCATTTTCTGTGCTACGTGTTAGCTTGGATTCAGGAGTCTGCTTTTGGTTGCTTTAAAGAACCAGACATAAAAACCTACCGGCTTCAGACAACTGAAATTCACTACGAGTTCTTTTCAGGCATCTTCCAYCCTGTAAAATCCTGCACGCGTCTGTTCACCCAGAGCTCGTGTGTGCTTTTAGTAGGATGGGGTAGCACGCCATGAAGCATTTACTGCGGGAAGCAATCTCCTGCTGTTACACATCCCTACACGCTAGTGTAAAGAGTCATTTAGGTTTTTAATAGGTCAGCAGGATAAAAAAATACGCAGGCATCAGGGTTGGCTCGTCTGCGACATATGGAGAAGGGATATGGGGGTATGCCCGGCCTCCCCGCTGGCCAGGGACAGTGGATTAAGGGGGACAGAGGGAAAAGCACGATTAAACCTGACAGTGCTCCAACATCCTCCCTCTCACACACACGGCTACATCGCGGCTCACACCGCGGATATGGGCAAATACCGGCACCAGCGCTAAGCGGAGCCTCCGCACCCCGGCCCCGCTCCCGACCCGCTGCCTCCCCGCTCACCTTTCGGCCGACGAGCCCCGCRCCGCTCCGGGGCAGCTCCTGCAGCGCCGCGGCCCGGGCGCCTCGCCCAGGGAGCGGGAGCCGGCGGGGGAGGCCAGCAAGGCGGCGGGGGAGCAGCGGTGCGATGCCAGGCGAGGCAAATGGCTGAAGCGCAGGGGCCGGGCTGGCGGAGGGGCCGCGCTCAGCCCCTTTGTTCGCCTGGCAGGCGGAGGGAGGAGCGGGCACGGACCTGTTGCTGCCGGCAGCAGCTCCCTGCGAAGGGCAGCGGCTGAGCCGAGAAAGCCGCGGGATGTCCGCGCTGCCCCGCGGGGCTGGGGCTGAGGCGAGGCGGGGCGGGGCGGGGCGGGGCGGGCGATGGAGCGGCCCCACCTGCCCGCGCTGAGGAGAAACTCCCCCCGTGCGGCGCCGGGCGGGGAGCGCCGAGCCCTCCCTCACCTCCGGGCGGGGCCGGGGAGCTGTGCCGGGGGTGAGCGGGGCGGTGGCGCCGCTTCCCCCCTGAGGCCGGGCCGGGGGCTTTGCCGGCTGGAGCCCCGAGTGCCCGAGGCCCCGGCTCCGCCCGCTCGCTGCGGGAAGCGGCGGTGCCCGCACGGAGCCTCTGGGTTATTCAGGTGCCTGCGAGCGGAGGAGCAGCGCGGTGGAGGCCAGCTGCCTTCTCTCGGGGTGCAATTTGCGCCAGGTCCCATTTTCTCATGGGTTTCAAARCTGAGACTCTCATCAGGATTCCAGAATTAGACGCGCTTCTCAGTTTCTTGATAAAACCCTTCACGTTTTGCTGTCTGTACTCTGGCTCTGCTCCTGACACAGGCGGTGGTACCTAAACCTCCTCAAGTCCCACCACGGGCTGCAGTCTGATTTCTGCCAAGACAGCAGACCTGCCACACTATTCCAGTCTTTCTGAACTGGTGTTCCTGGTGCTGGGATCTGTCGTACTGTCATTGTAACATATAGCTTTCCTGTGATACTGCTGCCTCCAAACGCTATACATCTTCAAACAATATGCATCTTTTCTCTTTTCCCCTCTCCACTGACGCCAGRGTCCTGTCAGACTAGTTCCCCTGCRCTGCCCAGTGAGTAGCTCCCGACMTTGAGGACACTCCTGAGCAGACTTGAAAAGCTACTTCTATCTCCTGTCTCAAATTAACCTGATAATTAATTGCCTCTGTGCTGGCAGCGTAGCTGTTGCAGCTCTGTGTTCTTACAGCGTCATGGTTGTGATGGCTAAGCCTTCTTCGGTGTCTTGATTTTGTCCCATTGCTCCTACTTCTTGACATGGTATGGTAAAAACTCTTAGGTGYAGACTTAGCACTTTTAAACTAAAGTGCTGGCATGCAGTGCTGGGTAACTGTAACCATCTGAGACTCTTTGCTCCACTCATGTGGTGCACTGACTGCAGAGCAGCCCTTAACCAGAAGGCTGGTTTTCAACCAGAGATCACATCTCATCTCGTGTCGAGGCCAGCGCTCTTCTGGGTGTTATAAAATAGATAACCAACAATCATACAGTGTCACAGGGGTCTTAGAAGCRCTGGTAACCATAACACATAGCTTTGGCATAATTGCAAATTTGTCRCTGTCCCCTGATTTGGGTCTATTACAAGGTTAGAATGTAAGTTCTGTATGTGGTTTTATTACTGGCTAGCTGGAAGAAATTYCCATGTGATGCAGCAGATCCATTAAAGCCTTCCAGAAATAACTYCTCTCTCTGACATCAGGAATTAATATTCTTGCTGTTTCATGTTACTTTAAATACTATATAATTCAAGATGACACTGAAATTAGACAACGGATGCAGCTATGGGAAATTATTTTCACTTTTAAAATCTCTATTKTTCTCTTCCTCTGTGGAGTATTGCCTCTCCTTAAGATGCCTGACTTCTATTCATACTGACGAGAGTTACGTGACCGTGGCAGCAGTATAATATCTGAGATCATTTGAGATTATTCTGACTCATGCTTTCTGAATACAAGACAATTTTAACCACTACTGGATTTTCTTAGCTCCTCTTCAGGTTTAACTTCCATATCACATTCCAGTCTGGGTATACACAGAGGTGTCTGGGTTGTGGTTTCTGGAGAGAATTTGAAAACCAGGGGTGGGTAGGAAGTAGCATATTGTGCTTTTATGGGCCATGCTTGCCCCTGTGGCTGGAGCCGGCAGAAGATCTATACAAAATCCAATCTCAATGGAGGTCCTAGCCTGAGAAGTCAGGTAGCCCTTGGCTGTTTCAGGCTTTATTCTCTGCCCTCATTGAACATTGCCAGAAGCAGATCATGTAAAATGACCTCAATTCTGCTTCACTGAAGTTCAGCTTTGGGCAGCAACTCCCTAGCTTTGTAAGCCTCAGTCTACTTTCCTCCCACCAAGTTTTTCACAGTTCCACATGYTCCTTTGTCATTAAACCCACTAGTGAAAACAAATATAAAGGAGTCGCTGACCTCTTAGTATAACTTTTGCAAAATACTGCTGYTGTATGGATTACAGGCCAGGACTTTGCCATAGAGAATAAGGCTGCTCATCAAATAGCCTCAATAACCTTCCCAGTAGAACTGGAGCTGATGAAAAAACTGGGACACTCATTGTAGAGATCATCTCAGTTTTAGTTCCTTGATTTCCCTACTTAACCTGAGTTCCCGAGGCTCCATTTATAATTAGTGTACAGGAATAACAATAYCTAAAGGGCAATTTTTCTMACCTATCTTTGACTTCTTATCTTTGGATGAGGTGATTGGTATTTCTTAGTTCTCTCCATTAGCTGTAATGTCAGACTGGTACAGCTGTAGACAATTTTCAAATGCCTAAATTACCTGAGATGAATCATTGTCCCAGTGTAGAAAAGGTATTTTCCTAAAGAAATCAGGTATCACACAGTTTACATGATCACACAGTTTGGTGTCTGACATGCTTTTTTGTAGCCCAGCCAATGTGACAAATGTTCAGGTGGACTGATATATTATTGTAACACTGTTACTGGCCATCAGAAGTTGCTGAGATCCTGTGTTCTGCAAGGGGCAATTAGCCTGGGGCAACAACCGTAGAGCACTGAGTAGAGGCAGGAYGGGGAGCATTTGCTGGGCTCTGTCCCAGAAACCTTAGGTGGCCCCTGCCCAGTCACATACTGCAGATTTCCCTCTGGACATGAAGCCCATCCTCTCTGTCTCTCACATACCAGCAATGGTGCTCAGTAATGTGAATACAGTTTGGACCAAAAGAATTTTATCAAGTGTTTCTCTGGTTAAAAAGAAAAAAAAAAATAATCCAGATGAAGAAGTAGTAGTGGGAAGATTTTTTTCATCCCACACACTTTTCTGTTTAATCCACATCAGGAAAAACAAAGTATTCCTTCTAGAAGGCATGATAGTGAGATGTGTTCTATGCAGAAACAGGCAATAGTGCTGAATGGCTTTCTCATGATAGGGTCACCAAACATCATCCTGATCCAGAGCACATCTGCTCAGAGCTTATCATGGCCATGCTCTTCCAGGGTGAGGTAATATATTTATTTTCYTTCTTCCACTGGCTGTACCAGCAGCTGCATTTTGCCATTCCCAGCTCAGAGGCTGTCATGCAGGATTGGGCTATCCTGGTAGCTGGAGCAAATGCACAGTTCCTCAGCCAAAATTAGCCAGTAGGTCACATCAAAAATTAATCATCCCAGTCCCAGGTGGTTGATTCTTGGCAGAACTTCTCATTTAAGGAGGTTAGAAATAATTTAACCAAATAATTATTTTATCCAGATGAAATATTCACTCCACATCCTATGAAGCAAGAAGCTTTAAGCCTTTCCTAGATAAYAGGCTCAGTATAGCTCAGGCAGGCTAGCTTTTATAAGTAGGCAAGGTAGAATCCTGCAGGTAGTTTACCCATGGCAGCATGGAGCTGAGTAGGGGTCCATGTTCAATTATTTAYCCAGCTGATTAGGTGGGCTTTGCAGCCTTCACTCACTGAGTCCATCACATTGTGGGCACATGTCCAGCACATAGGCAGAACTGGTATGTCTGCGCAGACTTGCCACCAGTGTCTTTGCACATGCAAAGCTGTTGGCAGGCTATTTTTACTTTTCTGGGTTGGTTGTTTTGTAGGGGKTTTTTTTTATGATTTAGATTGGCACAAGGATGTGTTGAAAAAATAAATGTTGCTGCATCAAAATTCTGGAGCAGATAATAGTTGAAATTTTCTGGTGTTCCWGCTGTGAATAGGTACTGGAGTATCAGATACATAGTGGTTGGTAGTACCTGATGTCAGTGGTCCTTACACTGCCCACAGATCTGGTTCTTGGCAAGAAGCCAACATGTAAAGCCAAACCAAAATGGAAAGAAAAGAAAACCTRACTTCTTTTGCTCATCCTGTATTTGACAGCTGAACACTCATGTGTGAAATGCTTCTTGGTGTTGAAGGATTGGTTTGATGCTGTTGCTGGAACAAACAAAATACTTACTGCACTTCTGCTGGAAAAAGATGCCTAAAATACATTTTTTATATGTGGAATAAAAAACCTATACATGYTGTATACATGTCACACACATCTTGTGTCCATCTGATGCTGGCCAAGGTGATCTGCCTGTATGTCTTATTCTTCACACAGCCCTGTAACATGCCCAGATAGCAGAATTGGAAGAAAAGTGCTGGTTGCACCATGAGCATGTAGGAGATAAAGCCTTGTATTCGAAAGGAAAACCAAACCATAAAGATTTCCTCAGGGTCGGGTTGCATACTTCTCAGCAGCAGAGACAAATCAATATTGGTTTTAATTTAAGAAAAAGCAAAGGATAAAAAAAAAGCGCCTCTATTACTACAGACTTTTACCATTTGAAAGAGTGTTCTGAATAGGTTGAGCCACTTTTAATGAGGTTGAAAGCATCTGATAAGTTTAAAAGAGAGGGAATGTATGGCATTTGCTTAGATGAACAATTGAGAAAATGTGCACATCATCACCTAATTTTCTAAAAATAAAACACTAAGGAATTTGGAGGGGGAAAAAAAAAGCCTACCCTTGCTCTTTAAATTGCTGAGATTATCCTGTCATTTCTTCCCAGCCATAATGAGCCAYGGATTGTCCCATCACATATCTCATCTACATATGTCTATGACTATGGTCTGTACGCTCATTATCTTTACATTTCTCCGCAAATGCCTTATAAATGTCATCATGTATTGGTGTAGGCTATAACCACCTTTACTCACCTGAAAGGGAAGGACTGGCACATGGATCCCTCCTGAWATCACCTCACAATCTGTGTCTGTAACCTCTGAGGTGCTCTTGAGTTCAGCAGTGCAGATGCAGCTTAATTTAACTGATGGTGTYAGTTGCTTGTGATCAGGA